TCTTAATAATATAATATATAGATTATTTAATATTCTCCATCAGAATTGATTATTTTTATTAATAAACATATTTTTATTAAGAACATTAAAGATAATATGATCAATGTGTATATATACAGTGTTGTTCTGGAAAAAATATCTCAAAAACCTTTATGTATTGCTAATTCTTTGGTTAGTCCTATGAAATTCATATGAAACTGACACTTTAGTTTTTTCTAGATAAATTGACATTTTGAAAAATCTTTCATGTTGGGGGATTCTGCATTCTCTTGGAAGTGTACCTTTCTTTCATTCTATGCTTACCTACCAGAAATAATCTGAAGCATTCCTATGTCCTAGAGGCTCGGTGCATGAAATTTGTGCACTTGGGGGGTCGACCCTCAGCCTGGCCTGCACCTTCTAGCAGTTCAGGAGCCCTGGGAGGATGTCTGACTGATGGGTTAGTGGGCCTAAGCCATCAGTTGGACATCCTTAGCATTGCCACGGAGGTGAGAGAGGCTCTCACCACTGCCGCTGTGCTCGCCAGCCGTGAGCCTGGCTTCTGGCTGAGCGGCGCTCCACCTGTGGGAGCACACTGACCACCAGGGGGCAGCTCCTGCATTGAGTGTCTGTCCCCTGATGGTCATCGTGCATCATAGTGATCGGTCATTCCACCATTTGGTCATTTGCACATTAGCCTTTTATTATGTAGGATAGTCCATAAAAAGAATAAATACAGCTCTTAAAAATATATTAATAAAAGTGCTACTAGGGAAAAATCATATCAATAGAAAGAACATTATAAGAAGATATGGGTTTTATTACTTTCTAAAACCCTCTCAAAGTGTAATTATAAAAGTTACCAAATAGAAGCTATTTGCCTCTTCTAAAGATTTTTATTTTTATTTTACAAAATTAGGATTATCCACTAATATTTCTATCTTGAAGAAAAGGGCCCCATCCTATATTATTATTTCTGTGTCATCTCTTGGACTAACCCAGCACCGAGGCATCTATGTTTTGAGATTTGATTATGAGTAGCTTCAGAAATTCTCCCTGGCTTGATTCCTCTGTTGTGTTCTGGGCTTTCTGCCACGTTCTTGGGCAACACCTCACACCACTTCATATCTCTTCCCTTCTTCCCATGTCCAAGTCTTGTTTCCCAGACTGACAAATTGTTCATAATTTATTACAGAGACATTTAGCCCCCTCTTTATCCAGGGCTGCCATCAGGCTGTGCCCAGGACCTTGACTTTCTCAACTTGAGTCTCATCCAGATTTGTCTAGTTGTTTTGCTTAATAAAAGAACCACTCATGTGTGATATGTGCTGCTTTCCAAGAGGGCAAAAAATAGTGGTCTTTCTCTTTTTTATAAAGCAGGGGGTTTTCCCCCTCTCTACTGTGTAGATTTTTTCTAACAAAGACGTTTGAAGTGTGTTGTATGTGTAAGACTTAGTCCAGAATAACTCAGTCTTCACTTTACTTCCAATAACTCCCCTTATGGTAAGTGAACCCCAAGGAGGTGAAGCAGAGAGCTCCATGAATATGTTCTACTGTCTTCAGGAAAGAAAGAAGTCCGAGGGTGCCCATGGAACCCTTGCCAATTATTTTTGAGGTATCATGAAAAATGGGGCCGAGTTAAGAAAACCTGAGATGAATCAATGCTGACCTGATTTTATTAGGAAAAAAAGAAAGATTCTGAGACAGGAAACAATGAGTTTGAGATCAGTCCCAAGGAAAGGAAAAGTGAGCCTTTGGAGAAGATGGCAGTGATGATTAAGAACCAGTATGGGTTCACTAACAACAAAGCAACCCCAAGCAAACTAACTAACGTTTGTTCTTCAAAAGAGAGTATAACTGAATTTTTACAAGTCTTTTAATAAAAAATAATCATACCTTCCTAGAAGATAAATTAGAGATAGTTTATAGTTTTGCTAGGAAGTTTCCAAAAGAATTACCTCCTAACAGTGATTAAGAATAAACTTTGGAGTCATAGAGCTTTGGGGGTTCAAATCGAAGCTCCACAACTTATCAGATATGTAATTTGGGCAAGTTTTAGAAACTTTCTGAAATTTAGTTCCCTCAACAGTAATGAGGGTTTAAAACTAGCTATCATAAAGAGTGTGCTTCTTTTTTCTTTAAAAATATATTTTATTGATTTTTTACAGAGAGGAAGGGAGAGAGATAGAGAGTTAGAAACATCGATGAAAGAGAAACATCGATCAGCTGCCCCCTGCACATCCCCCACTGGGAACGTGCCCACAACCCAGGTACATGCCCTTGACTGGAATCAAACCTGGGACCTTTCAGTCCACAGGCCGACGCTCTATCCACTGAACCAAACCAGTTTTGGCAAGAGTGTGCTTCTTAAATGGCATGGAGTGCTTTTTAACCTATCCTTAAATAAATGCTCAGTTAAAATGGTAGGTGTTATATTTTATTCTCATTAACTAAAGCTAATTGATTGCTGTCAATCTAAAGAGAGATCTCTGAGACATGCACTGCTACTTTTATTTGCCAATGATTTGAAAGAAATCGTGGAAGGCATAGTAATTATACTGGCAGTGTCCTTGCTTGCTACGCCATGAGCATTTTTGGGAAAGTGGCCATGTCTTCTTGTTCTTGGAATCATCACTGCCTGGTATAGTGCCTGACCCACTCAGATGTGTTTTAAAGAATGACACAAAATGAAATTGGTAACCAGAATTATGCGTAGCAAAATCAGGATTCAAAAATGCCACAAATAGGACAGCAGGCATGGCTCAGTGGTTGAGCGTTGACCTAGGGATCAGGAGGTCATAGTTCGATTCCTGGTCAGGGCACATGCCCGGGTTGTGGTCTCAGTCTCCATGGTGAGATGTGCAGGAGGCAGCCAGTGAATGATTCACTCTCATCATTAATGTTCCTATCTCTCTCTCCCTCTCTCTTCCTCTCTGAAATCAATAAAAATATCTTTTTTTTAAAAAATGCCACAACTAATTAGAACAGTGGGCCAGTACCAAAGATGAGTTCTAGGATGGGTGAATATAAGTCCACTATTTCCCTCCAAAGCAGCAAATGCAATAAGAACAAGATGCAAGAAATTTAATTAGACAAAATTTGGTATGAAAAAGACAGACATTTCAGTTTTGTAAAAGTTCAAGAACTAAGAATATGATAATGATACCATCCCCTCCTCAGAGTGTACTTCCTGCCTTCATAAAATCTAAATTATTAGAAATAAAGTCCAGAACAAGGCAGGCACCGGGATCCATGTACTTTGCATAATTAGACCACATCTCAAGTAATGCATTCAGTTCTGTTGCCACATTTAGGAGAGAAATGGACAAACTGGAATCTATCCAATATGGTGAGAGGCCTTACAAGCCATCTCATATTAGAATGATTAAAGGAATGTTCAGTCTGAAAAAAAGAGTAGACTTAGGGAAAAATGATAGCCATTTTTCAAATATTTGAATAACTTTCATGTGGAATAGGGATTAAATTTATCCTCAAAGCTTCATGAAGCTTCAGAAAAAAATTCATCCCAAAGAAAAGACAATACTAGTGAAAAATAAGGATGATCTCTAGCTAAAATGGGAATGGATTGTCTTAAACTTAGTGGCATATTCTCACCAAAGTTATTTAATTTCAGTTTATTTAGCAAATGATTATTGTTCACATTTATGTGTGTAATAAATAAGCCTTGTACAGGAAAGGAGCCTTAAAAAGTTTTCAGGTTAGTTGATTTATATCATTTGCAATGTCCACATATGCAGTTATAAATATACCACTAAACATTTACTTAGCAAAATTTACTGAATGCCATTACATGTCAATTTTGTGCTAGATGGTGGGTAATTTGAAAAAAAAGGCAGTGATATATATATATTACTATATATATATATAGTAGAGGCCTGATGGAGCCCTGGCTTCATCCAGATGGTTGTTCTGCTGTTTGGTCTAATTACATGGTAGCTATTTATTATATAGCATGAAACTCCTGCTTTGGGTGGGATATTGGACCAAACTTAATACTTGAGATTAAATCAATCTAAAACAAAACAAAGAAAAACATTTTGCTTGATTTAAACGTCACTGAGGAATTAAAGGGTCTGAGAATATTAATACCTGACCACTTCCAGAGCACACTGATAAAATGGGTAGAAATTGTCAGTCAGACATACCATTTACATCTACTCAGCCCCGTATTTTATAGACTTTGTTCCTATCAAGACATCCTTAAGATGATGGATAAAACATATAAATTTGGTATGTTTACAAAATCTTGACCTGCCACTTCCATACCTGAATTCCACTTACACATATGCCCATAAAGAGATATGCACCCAGCCAAGTATTTTAATACGACCACCCACTAAAAAAATAAAAAGATTGCCCGCTGTCTACTCCTCCTCCTTAAGAAGTAAAAGATTCCCTTTTCTTAAGAGGTTTACAAAACACTTTTCCCCTTATCCCTTTCTCTTGAGAAGAAGACAAAGAATCATAACCAACAAATGTATTTGATTTGCTATCAGAAAATTTAAGGCCAAAATATGCAGCACGTGCAGTGATGTTGATTTTATTGTATGGGGAACTCCAATTTTCACTTTTCTTTGCCTTTGGTTTCACAAGTGCTTGCTTTAAAAAAAGGGGCGGGGGTGTTAAAATATAGTAATTCTCTCTGCATAAAACGCGAAAGCTATAGTTTTAAATACTGAACATAAAAAAAGAATCTATTTTTGCTCAATGGTTAATTAGAAGAGGATGGTTTCTAAAAAGGAAACAAACAGAAAGCAGTAAAACTGCCTGGTCCTGCTCAGTGCCTCCCAATCCTGATTCAGCAATGAGGTATTTGCCAGTAACCATGAGCATTGTGTGCGACAATGACGGGGCTGCTTTAACTCGATACTGTTCCCACACCTCTCTGAGTCGGCCCCAGTGCGTGGGTAACTCATGAAGTCACTGGGTACCTGAGCGAAATATTGAAAGCATAGGAGGTTATGAGGGTTTACAGACAGGTGGAACTGGCTGCATGATCACGGCCACGCCCACCTCTTAAAATGTACTTGGCAACAACATTCATGCCAATATGACACCTGGCTGCGTAGGAAATTCATGACACAGACAGCAGGGCAGGCTTCAGATCATGGCACTGTGGTAACTGTGATCTCCCCGGAAGCCTCTCAGGGAAAGGCTCACACTCTATTCGCCCTTGTCTGCCAATTGGAATTTGAAGGGAGCTTGCTTGCTGATGTCCTGTGTGGACCCAGAGGTACTACTGTCCAGATAAGGTAAGGGCGATTATATCTCTTGGTTTGATGCTAGAGATAGATGATACAGAGATTCCCTACTTTTAAATGTAGGTTACTGAGGCAATCGTCCTGGCAGTCTATTTCAGGATCTTGAACTTGAGCGATAGAACTGTTTGGTGTCCACTCTAAAAAGAGACAGTCAGCGGCTGCAACAGCTGTCTATGCAAGTTTCTGGCTTAGTCGCTAAGGGGATACCGAGAAGGGAGGAAGGTGGTGAGCTGTGGTTGGTGGTAAGGATAGATTTGAGAGGAATGTTTCAGAGCAGCGGATCTCCCTGGGCCCTACGTGATGATGTTTTTAGTAGCCACCTGTATTCAGAGATTTCGATTTATGAAAAGAGAATCGTATTGATACCTTTACTGCTTTAAGGATGTCTTTCCAAAGGAACTGTCACAGAAACAGTTCCTTCGGAGAAGCTGAGAGACCAAAAGGCTTTATTGTGGAACAGCTTCTGCGGGCAGCCGTCTGCCCTAGCAGTTAATGTTTATGGTTCTTTTTGGCAAATAATCGTCTCTGTTGCAATACTGCTCTCTTTGATGAGGATTCAAAAAAAGTCTTAATCAAATCTAGCCGTCATTGCTGCTTCTTTCCTTCCTAATCTCTCTGATCCTGAATTATGAGATCCCTATCTATGAAAATAAAACAGCGCTTGTTAAAGCCTTTTTCAAAATTAAGACTAAAACCATCCAAACGAATTGTTTGCTATTATCAAGTAAACAATTTTTTTAAGTTTGATGAATTGTTTGTAAGCACTAATCAAGTGGGTGGAGTCATAAAAGAGGGGAGGGAACCATCTGAAACAATACATGTAATTTGTTTGCATTATTATTTGAGATAATTACAAAGCAAGCGTTCAAAGCTGTCCTTTATACCAGAAGGGGGGCAAGGGGAGGAGGGTAGAGAGGAGAGGAAAAGCACAAAAACACCCAGCCATTGTCAGCTGCAATCTAAAATATTGCCAGATTAACAATTGTCGAACATTTGCATTACTAAGAATGCCAGGGACAGAAGTGTCAGGTTGAATGTAGAGTGATGACTTCATAGGAAGGCAAAGCCGAGGATATGACCAGTTGCAGTCACAAAGAAATCAGCTTTAATTAATTTGAGTGCCAGCTCTGTGTATAATTACACAGCATGAGCGTTTGCATGCAAATGCAGAAATGCTGATTGTTCAAATACTTGCACTTGCTCATTAATACATTGGGACTAAGCAGGGCTGGCAAGCAGACAGGGTGCAGCACACACGGCGCCTGCAGGCTAATTTATATTTTACTCTAGTTAGCAAACAGATTTCAGATGTTTCTCCTTCCTTTATATAATAAGCACAAAAATACATGTGTCATTTTCATCTGTGGCATACCTTGTTTTCTTGATGAAAAGAAAATGGTTTCAGTGCTTTAAAAAACTGTTGAGGCTACACTGAACATTGCTATAATGTTGATTTTATAACTATTTGATGTCAATAACACTTATACCAGTTAATAGAATGTTTCTATTTGACATTGCATGTGATTGACCAAATGGTCATTTTATTTTTATAATAGGCAAAACTGTTGTCAATAACGGTAAATTTATAATTAAATCTAATGAGGAATAAAGCAGTGGTCACAATAGCATTGCCTACTGGCCTATCAAATCTAGTATCCCATGTTCATCATTAGCCAGGTCCGGAGCATGGAAAGGTGTAATTCTTTGATAAGGCACCTAAATCTTAAAATGTACTGAGGTGAGATTTTCTAGTTTGACCTCTGAATCTTCTAACAGAGATCAGCTCCAACCAAATTCCCAACCTTGGCAATGCCCTAGGGAAAAATCTTCCTACACCACCACCCTAGGAATATCTGATGCTTTCTTTAGAAAGTGGTATAAGAAAACAAGGACTTTGCCCAAGTCTCAAAAATCTGGTATTAGCCTGCCAACACATTCCATGCATTTTCATGCAATTCAGTTCTACAAATATTTATGGAGCCCCTATTTCTGTCAGACGCTGAGAAGCCGAAGATATACAATAGTGAGCAAGTGAGACACAGTCCCGGTATTTGCCATCTCTTTTCCCTCCAGACTTGTTGAAGGAACCTAACTTGGTTTCCCTGGGAAATGAATGCTGTTAGTTGTGATCACCTTGGAGAAGCCCACACCGCAGAAACTTGAATCTATGGCAGTGGTCGGCAAACTCATTAGTCAACAGAGCCAAATATCAACAGTACAATGACTGAAATTTCTTTTGAGAGCCAAATTTTTTAAACTGAAACTATATAGGTAGGTACATTGTTTTTAACTTAATTAGGGTACTCCTAAGGCTTAGGAAGAGCCACGCTCAAGGGGCCAGAGGGCCGCATGTAGCTCGCCAGCCGCAGTTTGCCGACCACGGATATGGTCTTCCACAAACAGTTCTCATGGCCTTTGCGGGAGAGCAATTCCCTCTCTGACATTTCTTCAACTCCATTCCTGTGTGAGATAGAGGGAGATGCCTCTGCCCCAGGGCTGAATGGAAACTGTGAAAGATGCAAGAGACAGTCCATCCAGAGAGCCCAAAAGTTTTAGAAGATGAGATAGATGAGAAATACTGTCCATACCCTTCTCTGAAAGCCTTTATCTGTAAGAATAACTTACCAAGGAGAAAAGGTGGGCACATCACGTAGATGAATACAGCACACTTCACACCACTTGGTCTGACCAAAAATAGGCAGCATCTACCTGTGTTCTCCATCAGTGCAGGATATGATGCTTCAAGGAGCGCAGACTAGAGAGCATGATAACGCCTCCTTCCTAAAAAGGCTGTTCAAATGTCTACCAAAGACTTCCTATAGCTATGGGACGTGTGCATGTACAAAGGGGAAAGTGACAGCTAAACACATTCACCCATACCACCTAAGCTTCCACTTCACTTTTAGAGTGGTCATAACTCTCTCACCCTTTGTATAAAAATATGCCAGAAGGAAGGAGAACATCCAGAATAGTGAAATGACCCAAGAGTTCTCCATGATATACAACACCGTAATTTGGAAACAGGGTTTTTTTTCAGGGGCTAACAATGAATTGAAAGTACCTGAGCTCAAACAACTTTTCCTCTTAGTTCTATCATGATTGAGCACCCACACTCAGAAAAAAATAAATAAATAAAATAAAATAAATTTTCAAAAGGTGTATGCATTAAGAATTCCATCTGGCTTAGTATTGCCACCATTAAACAAATATGTGGCATGTGGTTATATTGGTATCTTTACCAAGGAGAGCAAAAATCTTAGAGGATTTTGTCTGTAGCAAATGACTTACAATGTGGACTTGCGGTGATATTCATGTAAGTAATGTAAGTGATATAAGTAATTTCATGAAATAATTACAGGGTAAAAAGGAAAGAGAGTAAATGTGTAGAGCAGGGAAAAAAAAGGAATTTAGTCTGCAGATAGAAAGTGTTCAGAAAATCTGAAGAAGCTCTAGCCACAAACATGAAGAAAACTTGTAATCTGGTGTAGACACACAACGCACCAGACGATTCAGACCAGTCAGCTCTGCTGATCATTACAGAGTGAGAACCAGTAGCTAAAGATTCAGCAATGTTAGGTCAAGAGGAACTGTTTCACAGATTCCTGAGTACAGAGTACTTATTTCAAGACATGAGAAGAATGAAGGTGAGAATAATTGGAAATAGAAAGCACAGGGAAAGAATTGAGGTGTTCTTTTCTTTTTTTTTTTAGGGAAGTAAATATTTGATCATATTTGTAGGCAAGAAAAGAGCTGGTGGAGCAGCAGCAGCAATTTTGTGTGTGTGTGTGTGTGTGTGTGTGTGTGTGTGTGTGTGTAATGGGAAATGTGTCCTTAATTGGGCAGGAATTTGGAACAATCCAGGTAGCTATGGTAGCTAAGGAGATTTTTTTAAATGTTCCTCCAAATGAGAGGAAAGGGGGTTGGTGACAGAGAAAAATCTGAAGTGAAGAAAGTGAAGATAAGGAAAGTTGGAAGAGTATGCACAAGATGCCTTAGATCTTGTGAAGACATTGGTGAGATCACCTCCTGGAGGGCATAGGATAAAGACATGACACAGAGATTTTTTTAAAAAATGACCTTACTTTCTTACTGGGGGAAAAAAAAATAGGTAAAGGAAAAAAGTGTACAATGAAATTAGGTGAAGAACTGAGGAACAATGGCTAAATGGAAATTGGTCATTGTAAAAGCTTCATTTAGATATGAACTCACCCCTCGTAAATGAGTAATGGGACTGGACTAACACCCAACAATTTGTAAGTTTAACCTTCTCCAATATCAGTACAGCTAAAGTAATTGTTTACAGTTTATCACTCTTGCATTCTACAGTGAGGGAGGAACTGCAGGGAAGATATCAGCACATTAAGTAAATTAGTGCACAAAAGAACTTAATCTTTGGGTGAAAACCTACCATTTTTCCGGACTCTCCCTTTTCCTGCTCACCTGTGGCCTTGTGTTAACAGTACAAGTGTTTATTTAACAGAAGAGAAAACTGTGTGGGGCTCCCGGGGCTCCCTTATCACAGTACTTTCTTTCCCCCTCCATAACCCAGATACCTGCTGGCTCAGACTCTCTGGGTTAGGCACCAAAATCAAGGCGCATCTCCTGAAAAGCAGTGTTAAATACAGTGTTCACATACCACTTGGCAAAGAGAGAGAAGGCCCCAAGTCTGAGTCTTTGCTTAATATGTCTGGAGTTACCATTAACATTTTAGGACAGGTCTATTCTTAAGTTCAGCTGGTTATTTGTCTCCCAGAAGACGGGAGCATAGCTCATCAGTCACTGAGTGTCTGCCAATAGACACAGGACATCCCCTGGGTGTGGTACAGGGTGTTGTATAGCAGGGGAACAGAGCATTCTGAAATTCCTAGAGAGTTTGGTGGCTGTAATAAGTCAATGTCTGGGCCCTCAAGGATGAGGTAGCCCTAGATCAGCAAAAGGTCAAGACAAAGATTGTCTCAGAAGGCTTCCAGCCTGCCACTTGCTGCTTCCCC